CAACTCGGCCCTACGGGCCTCGTTGGCTATTTACCATCTCATATCCAACGCGCGCTCATGGAATAATTGTCAAATATATACTTTCTATTTTCTTTCACGGAAGGGTCTAAAATATCTTTTCCGCGGCGCCATAAAAATCTTGGAAGGGAAATACAGAAAGTGAGACCGCAGAAAGGTTAGTGTAACAAAGAAATTTGAATAACGCTGGACTTTCAAGTTAGCAAGGCAAATCATTTAAAGTTTATAAGAAACGTGAATAATGCTACTAGATTGAAGAATGGTACATGTTGGACTATTTTACTAATCGTGATATCAATATAAGATAAAGTCTGCATACGAGCCAAGTGGCCCATCAGGCCAGAGCTTACCCCGATTTCTCTAAGATGAAGCGACTAAAAACATCTCTACTCCTCCTCTGGACGTGATGCTAGTTCATCGAAGGGTTACCTCCAGCATTGAGTTCGCCGGTACTCATTTATACTACTGGGTTGAGAGAGGCACTGTGAGAGTAAAGTGTCTCTGGCTTTTGTTTCATACTTCTGTAAGAGTTTTGCTTACAGGAGACGCTATACGAGATAACCCAAAGGACCCTTTGACTCTGTAATAATTTATCCTCAATAACTCATACTACAATCTTTAAGGTCTAATGAGTCAAAGTTCCCCAGAATCCCTCACAGAAAGAAATCATGATATTAATTGCAAAGCGTAATGGACTGTTAAAAACGGTTTTCTGCAAATTTAAAGCCGTTTAGGCTGAAAGCATAAGTTTATGGCTTGTGCTGCATGGCTTCAGGAACATAGAGATATTAAAATAACACAAGAAAAACATAGAATCAACTGCTATTATTTCAATTCTTTGCGACTCATGTCATTAAGTACAATTTTAGTCTTATTGTAAGCTGATTACGTTACCTTTGCTCATTGAAATGTCGTGATCTCCTGCGTTAAAACTTATCCAGAAGGCGCGAAATATTTTTTACTGCTTTATTGCTCTCTCTCCGCTACATTTCCATCATTTTATTTTTCTTTATTTTTTTTTCGTTTTTACAAAAACTTTTTTTTAATTGTAAATGCTCCTTAAAAAAACTTCGCTAATTCATTATGGCTTATCAACTGGGTCAAGGTTTATTAAAATGTTCTGGCAAGCATATCTTATTGATTTATTTATTTATAACTAAGACCTCATCACGTTCATTAGCTGGTGAATACTTAAAAAGTTATATTCCTTTGGGTGGTTTTACAAGTGCAGCACGTAAGGACAACAAGGTGTTGTGTTTTAGTCCCCTCTCTCTCCCTCCCGTCAAAAAAAAAAAATAAAAAAAATAATAATAATAACAATAATAATAATAATAACAACAACAACAACAACAACAGCAACAACAATAATAATTAGCTACGGCCCTAGGGAATTAGTCTTTCAGTTCCAGGATGATTAGCGTGTTGGAAATATTTTGGAGACCTGGGTTGCAGAATATGTTGCGCGAGACGGAATTAATTATTACATTAATACATAGAACTCCTTTTCGCAGGTTTCTTTTGCATTGCAATAACTATAAACGAACTAGTTTTATATTTGCGTTGTTCCCTTCTTACAGTTGCAAATTGAAAGACCAGGAATATGCTGTGGACCGTTAATCCATGTTTCTTCCTCTTCACCGGCTTCTTTATGAACTGCGTATCTGCTGGTGAGCAATGCAGAGAGGAACGGAGCATAAATGGGATGGCTCTACAGGGATTCATCTTTAAAAAATTCCTCGTAAGTGCCCTTCACGAGTGTGATATCAGCTGTGAAACAGAAATCACCTGTCAAAGCTACAACTTCGCCTTAAGTGAAAAGTCGTGCGAACTGAATAACCGCACCAAGGAGGCCAGACCAGAAAATTTCCTTTCAGACCCGGCACGGTTTTACAAAAGACGCTTGAGTAGCAGGGGTATGTGCAAAAATATTAGAGAGATTATAAGTACAGACATTTTTTTTAGAGGCGGATGTTAACCAGTGCTTTCTTGTTTGGCGCGTTTTCTCGACATTTCGTTGAAAGCAGAAAGTTGTGAATTATTATACGAAAGCTTTCAAATGCACTGATGGAGTTTAAAAGCGTGCGAAAAGCAAAAATATAAACTTTCATTTACCGTTCTTGTGTTGGAAGCGTCCATTCTTATGTTTACCATAGCAATGCTCAAAACTCTCCAGGCCTTCTGAGGGTTTGCTATTCTTCAACAACCTTGAAAGCCTTTTTTCCCCCTTTTGAAAAGAATCTCAAACTTCTGCCAAATTTCGCCTGGATTTTCCCCCTGAAGTTCTCTAGGTAACGGTTACCTGAAAGAAGTCATTCACTTCGTCTTCATATCGTTAGTCGATGAAATGATAAGATTTCACCGGTTTTTAACTGACATGTTATTTGTTTTACAGAATATAAGATTTCTGCGGGAAACTTTCAGCCAATAGACCCATAATCTGAGAGTAATAGAAACCACAGTATAACTGGTAAATCTGCAATATTATTTTCCACTTTTCTTTTTCTTTTTCTCTCTCTCTTTTCTTTTCTTTTAATTCAAGCTCCGCTGGGTTCCATTCCAGAGCTCCCAGCGCATTCGTGTCAGGAAATAAAGGCAAGCGAAGGAAAAGCCACCATTAGCAGCAAGTACTGGCTAGATCCAACTGCGACTGGAACAGCAGTTTTGGTTTTTTGTAACATGCACTTAGAAGGTTACTGAAAGTCATCTTTCATGTCACTTCTGTGTTGTTTTGAGTTTTGCTTGGGTTTGGATGCTGTTGCTTGCATCTAGAGATAAAATCCCGGCCTTCTCTTTCAGTATCAGAGCATTTTGATTTACATTATACCAAAAGTTAAAAAGTTTTTCTTAACCGTTTACAAAGCAAATGAAAGGGAAGATCAAAATGAGAGAGTTAATCCCCCATATAGAGCTCATATCCAATCCCTCTTAAGTTTATTTTTTTTTAACATGTTTCTCAGGTACTCGATGGATATTACTAGCGCGTTATGTGGCTGTTTTCGTGCAGGATTTGCTTATGTTTTGGTTACAAAGCAAAGGAAACCCTCCAACCCTGTGGTGATGCATTCTCTAATAGCTCAATATCAAAGAAAGAAAAGAAGCAAAGCCAAATGAACGGCAGAGGAATGACCAGCCCAACGAACACAAAGTAAACGAAAGCCCAGCTAAGCAAAAAGAAGGCTGAGAGTGCAGAATTCATCTGTGCTATGAAACGTCTTTTAAAAATTAAAACGTATAAAAGGAGTTATATGCTTTTATACACTACGTTTCCCGCCATTCCGTCGCAGCTGGTTTCGAGATAATTGCTTGGGCTGTCCACACATCGTGCGAGTAACATCCTCGGAAGTTCTGGGTACCATGTCTAAAAATAACTTAATTAAAGGCTTCTGCCTGAGAGAACGGGGTAGACTTGGAAATGAAGGTTGGCCGATTCTCCTAAAAATCCACACACAAAGTCCTTAAGCAGACTTAAGTAAAATGCCAAAGTTTCAGCTTCATTGATCATTTTCCTTCCGAGTTCTGGATATCAGGCACTTTTCAACAACTTCATGACAGAGAAAGAAATAATTTCAAACTAAACAGAAAACACGTATGTAAAGCCCAATACTTAGGCTTTCATTGGTAGAGTTCTTGGCTTGCAAGAATCAGAATGTAGGCCTCATATATATGCAAATCAGCAGGCACCGGAAATGACCTATTTTTCAGGTTTAATGTTTTGTATACTCACATATTTCATCAAGAATTTTTTAGCATTCCTGTAAAGTTTAACCCTTATTGTTGTAATATCAAAAACCAAATTACTAAGGTTGCGGCTTCTTGAGTTTGCAGAAACTTACTCAATTGCCTTGGGAATATGGTCTATATGAGGGATTAAGACGGAATCCGCCAGAAGTTTGAGTAACAGGTGGACAAAACCTAGTACCAAGATTATTTACATCATATTGCCAACTCCTATGTGACTGTTTTAAATATCTTCTAAAAAAAAATCATTTCTAGCAACACCAAACGTCGAAAACAAATGTTGAACTTCGTAGGAAACACTTGAAAGTACTGGTGAAATGAAACTGATGATGAAATTTTACCTGTGTTTGCACAATTTCTGTGAACTTTAAAATTTATTTTCTCTCGTTCCCATGGGAAATTGTTTTCGGTGTTATTTCAGGTAATTATTTATATCTTAAGCTTTAAGAAAATGTAAAAAGGACTGTAAAATACCTAAAATTATTCTGATACTGAGTTTTGTCCACTACATGAGCTAAAGTTGCTCGATTCAGTTTCTATTGGATTTCGTCTTAATTCTCTCCCTATTCATCCTCTCTTGATAGCTTTTAAAACTTTGGAGGCGAAGTAATATAATAGTGAATAATTTCATTAGTTTTAGCCACCTTCGATTTAATTAGTTTTCACCAGAACGTAAGGATAAGCAACAAAAACAAGAGCTTTGGAAGTAATTATCATCATTTTACTTTGTCCGGGTACATGTATGTGATTGATAAATAGAAATTCGTCCTAATATTATCTATCAATGACTTACTTTCCAATATAGATTACGAGTGCAGGGGAAAACCCGAGGAACGCATCGACTGTGGATGGTCAGGCATTTGGGCCAGCCAATGCATTGACAGAGGCTGTTGCTACGACGACACTGACTATAGCTGGTATAGTCCCTGTTGTTATTATCCAACTGGTTAGTAAGCACTTAATCACCAAGAGAGATTTTTTTTAAAACTGTCAAATGCGCCAAGAATATGCGTTGTCACTTTTTTCAATTTCGTTTATAACGTACTTTAATTAAATATGCTTACTTCAATGGATTGTAGGCCCACTTCAATTGACTGTAATTTTCACCTTTAATTAGGCACCAGTAAATTAAAGAACATTACCTTGGCAGACAAGCTGATCAATGTTAACCTACATATCGCACGGTTACTGACGACCTCTTATTTTCTTTGACTTCTTTCGTTTTCTAGATCATAAACGCTTCGGGATCAAGAGACATGAACGAATCGAATGTGGCTACCCTGGGATAGGGCTGGATGAGTGCCAGCGCGATAGAGGTTGCTGTTTTATACCCGGTCAACCCGGTGCTCCTGAGTGCTTTTTTGAGAATTAACATGCATAGTTGATAAGGTACGAATATGCAAAAAAAACAAACAAACAAACAAAGACTAGTGGCCAGTAAAGTAAAGTCGTTATCCAGCATTTTCTTTTGGAAGCTTACTCACCCAAGATGATATCGAAAGAGGAAAAAAAGAAAAAAACAACAACAACAACAACAACAGCAACAACAAGAAAAAAAACAAAAACAAAAAAACAAAACAAAACAAAACTCGTCCCTGTAGTAATAACAAATCATAACCACAAAGACAAGAATATACAAACGTATCTTTTGTTATGAACTTAAAAATTCTGGCGTAACAATTTTTTTTCTTGTGTATTCTTATTCAGAACCTTGCTGGCTTGCTGACGCGGAGAAATAGAGAAAAAAATAAATAGTTGTCAGGTTGTTAAAGTTTTAAAATGGTAGATTGGAAACTGAATAAAGATTAAACTCATCGAGCAGAAGTTTTCAGTTGATGTACAATTTTTTTAAAAAAACTTTTTATGCGGTCAGGTAAAAATCAAGTTATGCTAAAAATCAAAAAGAAGAAAGAAAAAAAAAGGGGGGGCGGAGAGGAGGTCACCATGCTCTTGTGCGATTTAGGGCGCATTGAATATAGTACGTTTTTTTAAACTTTTGCTACTTTAAGACGATCTTCAGTTAGCCTACGTACGATTACTGAACATCAATAAAAGAGGCTACTTTAGTGCAATTAACGTCAGGTAAACGTACTCAATTTAATTAGCACAACTTAGTATGTTAAGCAAACTTGTGCAGCATAGGTCTTTCCTTAAGGTAGAATAGGCCTTGAAAAAGAATCATATTAGCGGTACCTGTCCACATTCGAAGAAAACTTCGGCTACACGAGAGCTAAAAAGGCGAAATATCTGTAACTTCTAACGTACATTTTTGTATAATTGTTTGTTAAAATAGAAAAAAAATATTAAGAAAGGAAGCGATCTATGAAAAGCCCTATACAGTCACTTAGACCATACTTCCTTAGCGTGCTTACTTGTAGTCTGACGCTACGGCGTGACGTTGCGACATTAATGAATGAGTTGCCAGTAATCGGATACCCGTGTTTGCGCGAAGAATTCTGGGATCGTCAGGGGGCAAACATTGCTAGTCGCTAGGAGAAAATGTATGGCGAAAAGTTGTTTCGAGGTACAAGAAAACGATTTTTGAGAGGGATCTACGCTTTTTCGCCGTCGTTTTTATCGCGAATGGATTTGGGCAATGTTGATATCTGAAATATGTAAGCTTCTGTTTGAATAACCGTGAA